GTAAGCGGAATTTTACGGTATTTATTGATTTATATTCATTTGTTTATTCATTTGTTTTTATTTTGCTGCATTTTAATTCTTCTAAGAAACAAAACACACCCTGATCTCGCCTGTGGCGAGCCCTGATGCAGAGCCGCCGCCGCTGAGACTCTGTAGTTGAATCGCCTAGGGTGTTTGGGGGGTTCGTTGTTTTCTGTGTTTTATTTTTTCCTTTTCATTACATATAATCCTCTCAATAACTTTGTTTCCAGCTCAGGTGTATCTTGAGGTCCTATTTTCTCGTCGCTTTCCACATTTTTCCGGGGCCGCTCCGTCTGTCGGGGTGAGGCGTGCGTGTGTTTTGTTTCGCCTTTCCCCTTTTTTTGTGTTGTATTTTCCACTTCTTTTCTCGTTGCATGCACTACAATGGGGCTGTGCACCAAAAACAAAGCTCGCTCTCCCTCCCGCCGGGGGAAAGCTGTTGAGATCGAGCCTGCTGGAGCAGCAGCAGCAGCAGCAGAGCCAGCAGCAGCAGCAGCAGCAGCAGCAAAGGAGCCGCTTCCAGAGGAAGATGTGCATGCAGCCCCAGAGTGTCAAGCGGACAAGCAGACAGTTGAGGGTGAGGACCCAGCCTCATCGTCTCACCGACCTACGCTGGAAATAGCAGCAACAGCAGCAGTAGCAGCAGAAGCAGCAGCAACAGCAGCAGCAGCAGCAGCAGCAGCAGCAGATTCTGCTGTTGATGGGCCCCCAACGAGAAGAGGAGTCGATGATGGAATACACGGAAACAGCCCCCCAACACGCAACGACTCAGCTGCAACCTCTTGTGCGGGGATGACGGACGCAGGGGCCCTCAGCAGAGCAGCAACGCTGCAGCAGCTGCAGCAGCAGCAGCAGCAGCAGCAGCAGGAGAAAGAGAAGGAAGAAGAAAGAAAGAAAGAAGGAGAGAAAGATAGGGAAACAGAGAAAGAGAAAGAGCAGCAGCAGCAAACTGAAGCAGCAACAGCAGCAACAGCAGCAGCAGCAGCAGAACGAAAAGACACAGAACCAATGCTAGCAATAAAAGACGGAGAAGCAACACCACCACCACAATCATCATCATCATCATCAGCAGCAGCAGCAGCAGCAGCAGCAGCAGAAGGAAAAGAAGAAGAAGATGCTGCTGCTGCTGCTGATATAACAATGACGCTGCAGCGGACGTTTACTTCTCTCAAGGAGAGTCTAAGCCGCAGCTACATGAGTCTACGTTCAGCAGCAAACAACAACAGCAGCAGCAGCAGCAGCAGCAGCAGCAGCAGCAGCAGCAGCAGCAGCAGCGAGGGTTTGTTTGCTGCTGAGGAGTGTTTATGCGGTATGTTTCCGTGTATGTTGGGTGATTGGTCTGAAGACGAAGCAGCAGCAGCAGCAGCAGCAGCAGGAGAACCACCAGCAGCAGCAGCAGCAGCAGCAGCAGCAGGAGAAGCAGGTGAGCTGCTGCTGCCGCCTATGCAAATAACAATGATTATAAACACACCAGCAGGCCCCTACATAAGAGCCATACCCCCCGAGCTGCTTACTGATGCTGTAGATATGGGCTTTATAACAAAAGAAGAAATAAAAAAACAACAACAAAGATACAACGAAAAATATAAACATATTCAGACCCAGGCTTATACACATACTGATCTTAGGGTCTAATTATATATATATA